GCATGAGCTAATTATACAGATAACCTGCGTTCCTCATTTATCATGTCAGAGGGACAGATTACAACCCATAATTGAAAGGAGAATAGATGACCAATGCCTGCATTTATGCAGCCTGCAGATGTTAATCTCTATGAGAAGATCTTGAGAAGAAGCCAACCCCCACAGCGTAGGCGCTCTGAATTGCCAAATGACTTTAAACTGGATGCAGAAACTCCTTGCAACTGTAGACCAAGTTGCACTTCCAAGTGCTGAGTGGGTTAGTGAATAATTTCTTGTTTCTGCTGTTCCTGTGCTAGCGGGGCTTTCTTGGAAGGTGGAAATGGAAGGGAAACGGAAGGTGGAATGGAAGGGAAAACCCTCGACAGCCTCCTACGAAAGGTCTGAGCAGCTGCAGCCAGGAGTTTGAATGGGAACTGCTGTGCCAGCTGGTACAGCCACACAGTTGCAGCGTGCTGAGCTTGGTTCCCCCAGGCAGAGCATGGCCAGAGTACCCTGGTGGCCCTTAGCTCCTGAATTTGAAGAAAAGAAAATAAACAAAAAGAAAAGGTGCTTCTACCTACGCTGAGAAATGCAAGGGAAACCCTTGTGTCTGTTCTGTCTCACATGCCAGCTGGATGAGATGTCCTTAGCTGTATTCTTGCTTACAAAATGGATCAGTGGTACCCAGGCTTGAGTTAAAATCGCCTGAATAAAGTTTACCCCTGTGTACTTGCTGAAATGTGAATTGGCTTATAAGAGCCAGCAAACGTGGCTTTTTTATACCAGTGATTACACTTGCTTAAAGGAGACCTGAACTTTCTGAAGAGCTGTTTGGAATCCTAGCTCAGACCAGATAAGCACGTAGGAGGAACGCTAAAACCAAATTATATGCAGGCATTAGGGGCGTTCCTTGTTCATTGACATAGCAGCCAGTGCCAGAAGGCTTTCTGCTGAGTGTTCTCATGTTCGTTTCCTACGTCTGGGCAAAAGCAGCTTTAACCAGGGTGATGCTTTAACTGATTATAGAAAGCTTTGAAGGAGAGAGACAGCATTAATCAGGAGGTGATTTGATGGGGTGCAATCAGTTCTTCAGTAGGGAGCTCTACAGCATTCTCTTGGTCTATTTACTGCTGTGCCTGGGTCTAATTCTAGCGTGTGCCTTTTATATAAGAAAGTAGATGTGAGTCGACAGCTTGGAGCTCCTGGGTTAGGACAGTACAAAATGTTGAGAGGTAATTGCAAGTGAAGTACACCCACATACGTATAGGTGGGTTTGACCACCTTGCCTGAATAGTTCTTATCAGCCCTTTTTCTTCAGCTGTACTATCAAAGTCCGGCACTTGTTGATGTCGCAACACCCAAACTTGCAGAAGGGGGAAATCAGGTATTCGCATCTTGCAGCACATCAGGTCACTAAAGCTCTGAACGTCTCAGACGTGTTGCCTTGAAGTGGTGGGAAGAGAATTTGGAAGCTGGTAAGGTTTGAGCTCAGGAATCCCAAATGCTGTCAAATTTCCAACAAATTTTCTAAAATTCACTGGGCATTGCTGAAGTGTAGATTATGGAGCAGCTCAGGGTTAAGTTAAAATGAAACACGTTGTTTTGTTTGGACTGTTTTCCTCTAGACTGGCTCTGACATACTGACAGGGTACGAGTGGGACTTCCTAACAGTGAGCTTTCATGATCTGGTCAAAATGTCCATGCTTTTTTATTTGCCTCTTGGTGAGACCCTCCAGCCAGCAACAGCATCTGGGGTCTGCTCAGTACACACTCTTGAGTCTTTATGCGAAGAGAGGAGAAACCTTGAAGACCTCAGTTTTTGTTAAAGGGAGAGGGTAATGGGAAGTGAAAAAGGAAGGATTTTCGATTTTGTTTTTGTTCTTAACTATCTCCTATGTCAGGGAGTAGTTGCTGTGCTGGTTCCTTAGATCTGAGGGCTTTATGCAGCAGCTGGGTGTGGTTGGAGTAGTTTATAGTGAAGGTTTATGATGTTGCCTGGCTGTAAGGATAGAGTTGTAACCTCATCAGGTTCGTTCTGCTAGTTCAGGAGCAGCCCAAGGCTGCATGCTTAGGTGGTGGCCCTGCACAGAATCACTAGTTCAGGAGCACCCCAAGGCTGCACGTTTAGATGGTGGCCCTGCACAGAATCGCTGGGCATTACTCTTTCGTTAGTGACTCATTGTCTTCACCTCCGGCAACTTTACGCAACTGCAGTTTCAGCCCTGTGCTCCATCCTCCTGTGCTGATGATACAAGTCCTGTGCTTGCAGATTTTGCAACCCGCCCTCAGAGACTGCTAAAACTCGTTTTGTGGTGGCTTGCTTCATTGTTTGTGGGGCAGCTTTAGGTGAGCACAGGGTGGGCCACAGGGTGGATGGCAGACCACTTGGAGCCTGGCGAGATGTTGCTGTGGGTGGCACTAGGTAAAGCCAAGTGAGAGATCTCCAGCACCTGAGGTCAATGGTTGAAGTTTCATTGGACATCAGCTCCAGTATGGGTAATTTTCAGGAACACGGTGCTCCGTAACTGTTGTCTGTATGTTTAATAGCAATAGTGTTGGTACAACTTAGTTGTGCAGGCTTTCTGTACCACATGAGAAAGGAGAGGTGCAACAAGAGGGAGGGAAGGCAGGACACTTCTATTGAGATACAGAGGTGCCTGCAATTATGCAGAGTAAAAGTTTGAGGAATAAAGGGCACAATTTGCCACAAGATGGTCAGGCACTGAAACAGAGGACCGAAGAGGTGATGGGACCTCCATCCTTGGAGATGTTCAGAGACTGGCAGAACACGGCCCTGAGTAACCTGATCTAATTCTAGAGTTGGATTTAACTTTGAACTTGGCCCTGCTTTGATCCAGCAGGTCAGATCAGATGGCCTCCCATGTCCTTTTCCAACCAAAGCTATTCCATGGCTCTGTGAAAGTAGTGTTGATGTTTAAGTGGTGTACTGCTGTCTGCTCCCATTGGGAGTCGGTATTTTGGCATTTCTGTATAGTGCCATGGATATTAAATGCCTTAGGGCCTTCATGTATGTATATATACATGCATATGAACTATATATATTGTTGCCTCTTGAGCGTTTCCCCTCATTGTTCATAATCAAGAAAAGTCCAACAGGCAAGGGGGTATAGAGCAGCAGCAATTCAAAGGAACATCATGTTGCTGTCTCATCCTTGCTTTTCTGCATCATCATCCATCAGTGATAACTTCTGCTGCGTTTCCTCAAGACGTCTCTTTTGTTCACAGGGCCAGGTTTGAAAGCTCCAGAAGCACGGACGATTGAGTACTTGGAGGAGGTAGCAGTTGGCTTTGCCAGAGGACTAGCCAACAAGACTGTGTCTGCCAAGAGATCGAAAGGGCTAGTACGGAGTAAGTCTGTGGGATAGCCAATCCCAAGGGACTGTAGTGAGTAAAATCCAGCTTTGCTTCTCAGGGATGTGTTTGTGCTCCTTCTTAATTCTGTTTTCAGAACAAAAGTTATTTCATTTTGTAATCCTCTCTTGAGCCAGGTGAGTTAGTAGAGAAAACATTGCTGTGCAGATCTGATCTTCAAGTGATGTTGCCAGAGGTGCACGTGGTGGCTCCTGAAGCAGTTTAGAAGGGAGCTGGGCCTCAGGGAGACAGCAGCAGCTACCTCCAGAGGACTATCCGTCTTCAGAATTTTCTGAGCAAGCTCTATACCAGATTTGTGTAATCAAGTGGGAAGAGGCACGTGGGTCTGCTCTGTACTAATCCTCTTTAGAAGCACCCTTATGCAGTTAGCAGAGCCCAGGAATGATGACGTCTCTGTGAGCTCTACTTCAGAGCTCAGTCTGTCACTGGCTGTATTAGGAGGATACTTCGGGTCTTATGAGACTTATCTGTGGAAGGAGCCATAGAAACACTTCTGAGCAGACCATACTACCTGTGGCTGAGTTTCAGGTGCACGTTTCTATTGCAGATATGCAGCATTCACATCTATACTCTTTAACTTTCGGGTTAATCTCTTCAAGGCTGATTGTGCATATAGCACCGTGCTGAGCCATATTTTGTCCTGTCTTGCAGAGATAACAGACTATGCTATGGCTCTTCCATTTGTGAGGCAGCAAGTCTACAAGACAGTGGAGACCAAAGTTCAGAAGCAAACCAAAGGACTCTACCCTGCTCCACTGAAGATCATTGAGGTAACTCCCACTGTGAGGCCCAAGAAACTACAGTGAAGGTGGATCTGTGGGATCGTATGGCAACAGACAGAAGGTGGTTCCTTCCTCTGAGTCAAGCCGTACATCCTGATCATCACAGCATATCAGTCTTGATGAGTGCTAGCTGTGTGGTGTATTGAGCAAGCGTGGTGAAATTCAGAATAGCTTCCCAGAATATGATCACCAATTTGTGTGGTACCAGTACCAGTAAAGGGAAAATCAAGAATCCCAATCAAGGAGAGGCTTGGCTGGAATACTTTGTCCATTAAACGTTCAGCTGCAGTTTTACCAGGTTTCCTGTGCAGTTTCTAAAGAGTTAGGTTAACCTGTTTGAAGCTAGGAAAATATAAATCGCTGTTTTCATAGTGCTAACGACAAAATACTTTAAAAGTTCATCCCCCGAGTTACACAGACATTGTATTACTTACAGACAGTGCCCATGGTTGAATCCTTATTTTAAAATGACATCACTATTTAAGTTGTTGCCAAGACTTCTGTAAACCTGTGAATGCCCCTCTGACTCTGGGAGCAATGACATTACAGGAGCACAGCCCTACTTCAAAAAAGTTCCTGAAACGAGAATTTTTGTGTAAAAAAAAAAAAAAAAAAAAAAAAAAATTAGCCTGACAGAAAATTCCTTGCCACTGGAGCTGCTCTGTGCCAGAAGGACAAGGTGATTCATAGCTCCACTTTGAACAGGATGGACAGGACCCAGAGAGTCTGAAGTGTGCCTGGAATATTGAGATGGGGTGAAAGCAGAAGGTGCTGCTAAACATGTAATGTCATTAAAGCGTAGCTGTTGGCAGACATGACTCAACAGTGACGTGTCTTTATTGTTCTTTGACTAGGCTGTAAAGACTGGCCTTGATCAGGGGCATGACGCTGGATACCTCGTTGAATCCCAGGTAAGGAGATGAGATCCAAGGTTGTCAGTGAGTTGTGGAGCTGGTGGGGGCAAGATTCTTTGATTTAATCACGCACAAAGAACAATATTCATCAGAGGCTGCTCAAAATGGTGTCTTGCTCCCTGCCCCTTCTTCTGGCAGTGGGGCTGTGAAAAAGGCCTGTCTTGAACAACAGAACTGTTTGTCGGGATCCTTCATCTGTGAAAACAGTTTGTGCCTTTTCTCGTTCCTGTCTGTGTTATCGTTTTGAGTGGGGAATAACCCAATGGGGTTCATCGGTCCAGGTTTCACATAACAGGACTTTGGTTTCTCTGTGTGCCTGAGCACAGATTGTTATTTCCGATTGCCACGTGGGCCGGGTAACGTGGAGGTGTGGGTGTAGTGCTCTGTCTCATCAATGTTTCCAGGCAATTTTGGGCAAACAAGTAATTTCCTCCAAGAATTAACTTTCATTTTTACCAGTGTTCTGTTTACTCTGTCACCTTTTTTCACCGTCATCTTTGTTCAGGGTGCTGATTCTCCATTACTCTTGTTTTGCTGTTTTTCCTGGTTTATAGTCCAGATACTTTGTGCTGGTCCTTTTTCACCCATTGGTAATTTTGGGTGCTTCTGAAAATTAGGTGATTTTTTTTCAGTAGTAGTTGCTCACCCAGAATGAGACTTCTTCTATCCCTTGGTCAAACTTACCTATTTAGTAGCCACTCCAATCAGCGTACTGGCTACTACTGGCCATTCAGGGAGTCCTCAACAGTGGAAAACCGAGCAGACAGGAACCTCATGAAGTTCAGCAAAGGGAAATGCCAAGTGCTGCCCCTGGGGAGGAACAACCCCATGCACTAGTACAGGCTGGGGGCCTGCTGACTCTTGGAGAGAATCCAGCAAAGGGCCATAAGGATAATTAAAGGCCAGGAGCATCTGGCACACAAGGAGAGGCTGGGAAATGTGGCAGTGTTCAGCCTGTAGAAGAGAGAAGGCTTGGAGAGATCTTATCAATGTGTATAAATACCTGGTAGGAAGCAGTAAAGAAGGCATAGCCATTCTGTTCTCAGAAGAGCATATCTGGTGGCAGAATAAGAGGTAATAGCCACAAACTGACATAGGAAATTCCTCTTAAATATGCAAACCAACTTTTTTTTACTGTAAATGTGATTGAGTGCTGGAACAGGTTGCCCAGAGAGGCTGTGAAGTGTCCCTCCATGATGATACTCAAAACCCAAGTGGGAGCAGGCCAAAGCAGCCTGCTCTAGTTGATCGTGCTTTGAGCGATGGGGTGGGACAAGACTATCTTTACAGGTCTCTTCCAATGTCACCTCATCAGTGGTTCCGTGAAATAAGCCTCTATTTCATTCTTCCTTTCCCTTCAATTGTTTTGTATCCTGGCACATTGAGTTTAGCACCAATATCAACTGTTAAGGGTAGTCAAGTCTTTTGCATTTGAAAGCCCAGGAGACTTCACCTCCTGTTCTGCTTGCTGTAGTTCCCCTTCCTAGGTCCAGCCGGTGGGGAGGCTGAGCAGGTGCTGCAGAGGTGTAGGTACACACACACGTTCACAGTCACAGAGCACGCGCACAGCTGGCTGCACAGGCAGCGCGGTGCCTTCACTGGTGGTTGTGGTTTAAGCCGGCTGGCAACTAAACACCACGCAGCCACTTGCTCACCCTTCCCCACCCCTGGGAAACAGAGAGGAGAATTAAAGGGGAAAAGGGAAGGGAGACTCATTGGTTGAGATAAGAACAATTTAATAGCAATAATATGAAATTAGAAGTAATAATTATAAAATAAGAATTGTATATGGAAATATACATCTATAATGATAATAATATATAAAAACAAGTGATGCACAGTGTAATTACTCACCACCTGGTGACCAATGCCTGTCCTGTCATGGCAAACAGTTCTGAAACAGATGAGTCCTCACACAGCAATCCTGGGTGAGCGAGTGGCCTGAAAAGAGAGCGAGAGAGAAGTAGAACTCTGAGAGACTGAGAGTCCAAGAGTGCCCTAAGACAAGAATCCCAACTTCCCAATCAACCTTCACCTATACACTGGGCATGATGTTGCATGATGTGGAATACTCCGTTGGCCAATTTAGCCCTTGATCCTAAGTCTAAGCTCAAATCTTAAGAGGAGTCGGGGGCCCTTTGCCCCAGCCATGCTCCCCCCCCAGCCTGTTGTGCTCCTGCACACTGGCAAAACATGGGAAGCTGAAAGATCCTTGATGACTCAGCACGAACTATCAACATCAGTGCGCTGTCAGCATTCTCATAACGAATCCCAGGCTAAATCCAAAACACAGAGCCCTTCTGGCTGCTGAAAAGAAAAACTAACTCTGTCCCAGCCGAAACCGGGACACTGGTGACAACCCACGTAAACACAAAGTGCTCACAGGCATGGTCAGTGGTTGATGCTGTTCCTCTGGGCTGGCTGGTCAGAATCGAAGCTCATGTGCGGCAAGAAGCGCATGTGCAAACACCCACCTCCCTTTAGTAGCCATAGATGTTAATTGGCTGTAGGGCCTGGTCTGACCAGCTGCTGGCACGTGGACCTCATGTCCTAAACGCCATCCAGTCCTGCTTGGGGTTTGCTGGTGACACACTCAGGAAAATAGAAGTCGAATTTGATATGGAGATAGGACAGGCTGTGGTGGGCAGGTCCAGGTGAGCAGGCACTTGTACGCACCAGCAGCTTGCTTATGCCTGGCCCTTCTTTTCCCTGCACAGATAGACACACACACACACACAGAGTCTTTGTTTTGCTATGCTTGTTCATCTCAGCCATCTTCATCCCTCCTTTTCTCTGCCCTAATAAACAACTACTCCTAAATTAGTTTTTCCTCAGGAGTCCCAGTTTTGCTACATCCGTACCCAAATTTGTTATTTCTGATACTGAAGAGGTAATTCTGGCTGTGTGCAGTGTCTCTGGTGCGGTTACCTGGGCACTGCTGCCTCTGCAAGACCTGACTGCCCCGAACCACAACACTCTCATCCGATTATTTCTGCATTTGGGTCATCTCTCACATCGTTGCCCCTTAACTGCCAGTGAAATCCATCCGTGCCCCACAAATCTGTAACTTTCACCAGCTTCTCACGCTGCTCTCTGTCACATCCCGCAGTCTTTTCTGCCATGCTTAACAGCTCCTTTTGTTCTCTTCTGGTGACAAGGTCCTGGTCTGAGATGTAGCTGTCTGCCTCCTACCTTAACAGTGACCTCCTGGGTATACCCCGTCTGTTCTGGTTATGTATTCCACCCACGTTTGGTCTGGTGCTGAATAAAAGGCTTGGGGTACTCTGTTCCTTACAGAAAAGAATGAATGTTTTTTTCCTGAGAATAATAGCAGGATGGAGATCTTCCCAGAACCCTCTAAAGAATAGTAAGTGTCAGTGTCGTGTCTTTTTTAATGCCTCCCTCTTTTGCCGAGGACAGAAGACTTGTGGATTCTCTTCCATGTGTTTCTGATATTTTAGGGAGCCTCAAACTCACAGGACAGTGGTGAAGGAAGATACAACCTGCTCTAAAGTAGTACACTGCGCTGACAGCTTTCCTGAGCAGACTTGGCTCTGACAACTTTAGTTTTCTGTCACCCTGCGATGTCTTTTGTCTTCCTGACTGCTTTCCCGTTTCATGCTGAGTGCTGGGAGGTTTTGTAGGCCTTTGATTTTGGTGCCTGTCTATGATCCTCCAAAAATAGTATCAGGCTACTGCTGTCACTGAGAACTGGCCTGTTTAAAGATTTTTTTTTTAGTATTTTTTATTTTCTCAAAGCCTGAGAGCAGGTCAGGGGCCTTTCACCTGGAAGCCCCTGGGGCAATGGCCTCAGCTAGTACAGGATGCATGTCGGGGAGAGCGGGTCCTGTGCCAGTGAAATTCAGTCCTGCCCCTGGGGAAGTAGAAACGGCTCCTGCGTTGATTTCATGGGACCCCGCAGGTGCTGGCAGAGGCAGCAGGGTCGATCCTGGCTCACCATCGCACCGGTGGACTGCCAGGGAGGGGGAAATGAGCGGGGAATGATTCAGTAGATAGGAAGGAGACGGATATGGAAATACTGTGGCTGCTCTTGTTCCCTGGCAGAACCCCTGCCCCTCCA